AGGACAAAGGTCCTTGCCCCAAATCAGAATGTAGTTTACTAGAATAATACTAGAATAGTACTCAACTAGAATGTAGTTTCAAAGAAATGGAAGGGAAGCTTTTCAGCAAAAGTGTACCAAATATGGGTAAACTAAGCTGAGAATGTCTTCTGTGTCCCTGCGTGCATTTTAAAACCACTGTGTTCTCTCTCATGCACCTTGGAAGGAGGTATCTTCACGTTCAAAACTGTTGGAAGATATCCATTTGGCTTTTGGCTGAGCTGCTATAGCAGCTGTTGGTCTTCCTTAGAAATGCAGCCACGTGCAGTCTTTTATTTTATTCAGTTTCTGCAATCTAATTTGTGTCTGTGGGTCTTTTGATATTTTCATAAAAGATGTCTGGGACTTTTGGGTGATCTCCATCCTTAATGCTTGTATAGCTTCCAAGAGGTGAAAGCGGATGCATTTAGTCTTCTCTGATCTCTGTCGTTTGTCATCATATCCCCATAAATACCTTCAGTATCCTTTTTTGTAGGATGTCATCTTCCCCTATAACGTGGCAGTGGAATAACAACATCCCAAATATAGATCCAGCTATCTTTTCTCCCTCTTTCTATTCCAGCTTTATAAACCCTAAGGATCTTTCAGCTGACAACTTTAATGAGGATAGATGGTGCTAACTTCTTTAGCAATTTTTAGAGATTTTCAGTTTCTAAATGGCATGATTTTTTTCCAGGCTACTAGAAAGAGTGGCCTTCTCTGTATGCAAGTTGTATTTTCTACCCCTGGAGCAGTAAAGCTGACAAGTAGCATCAGGCCAATAAAAGCAAACAAACACAACATTGCATCTGATTTGCCATCATCTTCTGAAGATAGCACTTATGTGATATTTTAAACATAGTTTCTTCTAGTCCAAATATTTGTCAAGCCAAAGCTACTTTAATGATCAAAAGAAATGTTTCATGTATTTCATAGAAGGGCTTGAAGCTTTTTTCACTGCCGTAGGATATCCAGACAAAGGATTCTTATGTATCTTAGTGATGCGATGAGGACCTTTAAGAACCTCAAATCTAAAAAAACTAATATATGATCCTGACTCCTGCCAAGATTGCAGTGCCTGAAATCCCGCTCACGGGCGGGATCGGCTTGGGCCATTCCTGCCTGCCCCTCGTCAAACCCAGCTGGGGCAGAGCAGGGTGCCTTTGCGCTCCCTTTCCACACCCATCTTGGTTTTGGTGTGTCTATTGAAAGAGTTTTTGCTACTCGAGCACAGTCAATGGCTTGAGGCAAGTTTCCACGTCTTAGTAGCCATACATTTGTTTTACATGTGTCTCTCAAGCTTATCTTGTGGTAGCTGGTTGTAGTCATTGCTGACGTGGATAAATTTGAAATAGTGGCATAAGTTTCTCTAGTCTTGCTGCCTCTATGCAGGCCAACTATTTCAATTAATTAAATTGTTTTGGTTTTTTTCCCCACCCCTGTACTTTAAAACTGTCTCAATGGAAAATGACAAACTTCTGCAGTATAAGCCAATCTACATAAAATAAGTGTTTCTCTATGCAGTATAATACTGTAAATTTTTATTTTGGTGTTATAGCTCTAATTCACCATGCTCACAGTTGTAATGCTTTCCCCCATCATGGACATAGAACCTGTATTTTATGCCAACAAAAATATTTACACGGAGAGATTGCACTGGATTGGAATTAACTTTGGTATCCATCATGACCTTAGATGTCACTAGTTTTTAACAGCCGTGCTGTTTAATAGCATCAAAATTTTATGAAAAGAAGCAGACCTAAAATAAAAATGTAGAGCACATATAATTTAAGATTATTATTCCATCTTACACGTGTGGTTTGATTTAAAATATATGCTAAATGTTCAGCAGACTGACATTTGAATAATTAGGAAAATTATACCTGGAAGGTATGTTATGACCAATTTAACGTTAAATCACTGCAGTTCTCAGAAATCAGAATTTCTGTCACAAGCATTCTCCTTTTTAAGATTTAATTCTTTTTAACGTTAACATCAGAAATGATACATTTATTACCTGGAAATTCCAGTTGTTGAAATCAAATTGTAAAGAAGGTTTGGGGTTTGTTGTTGTGGTTGTGATGGGCATAGGGCTTCCAATTCATTCTCTGACCAAGAATTTGAAAAATGCAAAGTTGAATGACATGTAATAGCTCATATGCTGCTATCATATATCTCAAATTCTGATATTATGTGCAAACTGTAGAAAACCTCTTTCAAAATATGAAGTGACATTTGCTTCCAGGTGAAACAGACACTGGGATTTTTAAAAGAAAATAGTTCAAAAAATCCTATTAAGACATATACTGTAGGGTTATGTGAAGTATGTTTTTCTTCCAGTATGTTCAGGATATCACCTCTCAGTTACTCACTGGTAAATTTGCATTGAAATCAGTATGCTTTCAAGTAAATCCCCCATTGTAGCTTTTGTACACTTTTCCGTGTGTATATACAAGTATGTGTATATACAAGTACGTTTATGTACAAGTATTCTTCTGTTTTATTTTTTGCTCATTATGGCTGAAAAAAAGAAATCCATTCTCACCATGTTCCCAGGCAAGGAGCTCCAGGTGGCCCTGCTTGAGCAGGGGGGTTGCACCAGATGACCTCCCAGCCTCAGCCACCATGTGCTTCTGGGAGTCTGTATCCCTTTTCAAATATCCCAAACGGTTGCTCTTTTAAAAAGGCTCCATTTCTCCTTCACTAGAGCCTTTTCCCCTCTTTGCTCTGCCTGCCTGCTGCAGCTGCAGAGCCGGGCAGTGCACATACAAAGCTTTGAAAAGCCAGTTCAAGGCAAGGAGAAGGAGCTCCCATCTCTTAAAAGAGGGTCCTTTTGAACTACCCCCAGCCATAGCATTTGCCTCACTAGCAGCTGAGATTACGCCTTTTAGATGGGATCTTTACTCTCACCTTTTTCCCCAGTAAGTGTAGGAGAGGTGAACGGGTTTATTTTTCCCTGGCACTCTGTGCAGTGTTATTTGGAAGACTGGCCATGTTAACATGTGATTTCTATTATGCTGTGTATTGAGAAATATGAATTTTACTTTTACCACTTCCTAATCTTTTAGTCCAGAATGAATAGCTCAGATTTTAGGATGTGCTGCAGAAATTCCTCCCCTCTTCTTGTTTGCTAGCTTTTTAAGATGAGATAGGGAAAATGACATAAAGGAACTACTACTTAATTAAAAGTTTTATTTTTTGAAACTCTAAATAATGGACAAATGCTTCAGTGCCATAAGCCATTTCTTGCTAATTTAAATTAAACTACATCCAATAAAAATTAAGTTCTCGTTCCTCATGTTTTGGGGCTTTTTTCCCCCCTTTTTTCTTTAATTGTTGCATCTGCTGAAAGAAGACTCTGTGTTCCAAAGCATTTGTAATGTGTCAGCCCCAAAAGGCCGTGGTCTCTAGGATTTCCTTTGACGTATTCATGCTCAGTCATACAGTTTACAGTAACAAATAAGGCTAAAGAATCTTGGACAGAAAACAAAGACTTGATAAAGAATAATTGAAATTTCACATCTACCATATTTTTGCAAGATATGACTCACCTTCCTAGAAAACTATAACGAAGTGTTTGCTGTCACAGTAGCTGACACTGCTTTAGAAAAATATCCTTTGTTAAACTTGCTGTTGTTATTCTTCTAGAAATTTGGGGAAAAGGGAATCGGTTTTCAAAATCATATCCGTGAACAATGTCTATCTTATTCTGCACACAAGGGATTTAACTTGTGCTCTGTGGGAGAGGGAGGCGAAGCCATTTCTCTCCTTCCTATAGCGATGACAGTCGGAAAAACAGCGAAATTCTGCTTCTGCTTCGTAATGTCTGCGAGAAGAGGTTAGGCTTTGGGAGATGGATGTGAATTGCATTTTGATTCTTTTCAAAAACTCGAGTCAGTATTCAGGGTGAAATTTAAGGTCATGCCGTTAGTCAGAGCAGTTCCGGTTAAACAGATCTGCTATTCACACTGACGGTGTCCCCCTTTCAATAGGAGGGAATAAGGGAAGCTGCTGATGAGGAGTGATGACAACCGCTGCCAGCAGCAGTGATAATGGGTTCAGTAATCTAATAAACTGGGTTATTATGCTTTTTAGCATCAAATGGCTAAATAAAACTGATGTGGACTTTTAAAATACCATTTTTAGAGCAGTTCTGTGCAAATCATGATTTGTGAGAAATGCAATATTTAAGCCTTTATATATTGCTATTATAACGTCTGTTCTGAATCACCCTCATAATGAACATACAAGTAATGATAACTCACTTCCTGTGTAAATAATCAATGCAAAATGTTATTGACATTCAATGTAGTATTTTATTCATGTTTCATATCTCTGTTCTTTTTCCTTAAAACAGATGGTGGTATTGTAATAGAGTTTGTAAACGTATCCCAACTGGTAATACTTAATCGTAGTGCATTTTTCTGGCTAACAAACTTAGCAACAGTACATCAGCCATGAAGATAAGCAGGATCCCAGCATTCCCATTCATTATAAATTTACGGTGTTTCATTTTGTCTCTGTCACCAGAAAGCGGCTTGAAGAGCAGCTTTCCTGGCTCTCTGAGAAGTCCTCTGCTGAGGGCAGGGTGCTGTGGTGGCCACGACTTCTGACTTCAAGGGCTGGAAACAGAACCTTATAGTGCTCCAGCTCATCTTTCTTTTTCAGCAGACCAGATCGATGGTCTTAGGAATAAGCCATGTTATGTAGGCTTCCTCCTCCTCCTTCCCTGCAAGCACAGCTGTGTAATATAAAATAGAAGGAAGAATTTGGCATCCCATGAGAGGACGGTATTTTTTTATTGCCGGTTATGAGGGTTGTTTGGTAGAGTACTAAGGGAAACTGAGAGTGCGGTCTGACTTCTCTCTTTTGCCATTTTTGGTCTTTGCCAATTTGGCACTCGCCAGAGAAAGACTTAATTTCATCTGGGAAAGAAACAAGCTAGCTCTTGGATACTGTCGGGTGGAAGTGTCTCAGCCTGATGGTTGTTGTTCCCAAAGCTGTGCCTCAGAGGAAACATTTTTTTAGATTTTTTTATTTAGAAATGCAGAAGAGAGTAAATGATCTCAGCTCTCAGAACAAGTAATAAAAATGACTAAATAACTAAAAATGACAAATTTGTATCGTCTAAACATTAAGTGGGCTTGAGAACAAGGTGTCCTGTATTTCTGATGATTGAAGGGAAAAGTCATAATCAAAAGCACGTAACAAACATTTTAGTTCTAAAGATACATGTTTTTGAGCTGTTCAGGTGGATTTACTTCAAAAAGTGACTTTCTAAGGGACTTTCTAACTTTAAAAAGTGTTCTTAAATTTTTCTAAGGGTTACCTTTTATTTTTGAAAAAGTAACCATTCATGAAACTCAGATGTCCTATCTGTAAACCACAGATTCAAACCCAGCCTTCAACACCCAAATGATGTCTTTTAAAGAGAGGTTTACCCAGTACCAGGCTTCTTACTACATCTGTTCTTTTAGCCCCTTAGCTACGTGTATTTGAAACTTAATGCTCTGTGTGCCTGCAATATGAATACCCGTTTTGAGCATCTCCTTGAGTTCAATGTAAAGATTACTGCTATCTCAGCTTTAAACTTTGCCTTGCTTATGAGAAAGTAGACTTGTGAATAGCAAAAGTACATCCTTCAGGGGAGCTGCACGTTGAGGGCAAATGTCCAATGTGCAGATTCTGGGCCAAGTGCTTTTGGAGGGCTGGTCATACCCATTTCACACCTTTTCTGGAGGAAAAAATCGGTAGTAGCAATGTGAATTCTCCTCTCAAAAGCACTCAGGTGGCTTGTAGACAATTGCAGTTAGGGCTGTGGTGATCAGGAACAGAATTGTAGAAGCCAGTAGATCTCCTCCTTGCAAGTTCTTGCAGGCTTCTCGAAATCATTTATGGCCCTGTCTGTGGTTTCGTTGGGTCAGTCAATGGCAGCCGCTGCCTGGAGAAGGAAGAATTCGGTTCTTATTCCCAGAACTGAACAAGGGGGACATCTCAGGGCCCGTGTTTGTCTCCCTGTGGTTCAGCTCTCTCTGAGTCAGATAGGCATCATAAATCTTCAAAGACGGTTGAAACCTGTTTTTCCACTTTGAATACAGTTGATGGCTGATACAGCTTTTTCAGTCCTGATGAAATCAATGCTGTCCGCTATTGGTTCTTCGGAATCTCCTCTAAAAAGGCACATTGAGCACAACATTTCTGCTGGCATCATCTGCCTCACTACCATATCCCCATCCACTGGATGTCTTTATGGGTTCTGTGAACTTGTTGAAAAATGATGTACTTTCTCAGGTTTTTTTCCTGGTATTTAATGGACCCAAGTTCCTGACAGCAATAAGGAGTCTGACTGTCTTTTTTTGGTCCACCTTGTGCCTGGGCTTTAGTGACGATGATCATTTGTGAAAAATAACAAGCTTGTTACCTGAAGTCAGTAATCCATGAAAGAAGGCCTTCCCCCTCCAGTAGGCTTCGTTGGGGAGAAGGAGTAACTGGTCTTTGGATCAGAAGAGCCAGATATATCAGACCCTGGTGACTAAATACAATTTTCTTCAGCATGACAGAGCTGACAGCTAGACTCAGCAGTTCTAATGATTCAGCTACAGTGTTGTGTATAGATTTGGGTGCTGCAATTCAAGAAAGATAAGAAACAAATGGATAAAGTCCAGAGGAGAGAAATGAGTGCTAAGTGTTTTAGAAAATATAACTTTCTGAAAGAGTGGAGGAATTGGGATTGTTCCACGTAAGAAAAGCGGGTTGGGACACTGTTAGGCTTCAAATATAATACATGTCTTGTTGCAAAGAGGAAAGAACAGGTTTTCCAGGGGTAGATAAGACAAGAGGACAAAATAGAAGAAGAAAAAACATTTAGATTTGAAATTTTCAAAAAAAACCCCAAAGTATATTGAAGCACTGGAATAGCTTGCTGAGAAGATCATAAAAGTATTCAAAAGGAGATGTTAGGAATAAGTTAGACAAAGATCTGTCAGAAATCACAGAGGTATGGTTGATCCTGCCATTGTGAACAGGTTTGGGTTAGATGCCTGCTTGAGATCCCTTTATTGCCCTACTTTTTATTAATAGGTGTTTCGCATGGTGAGGACCAAAATCTTTCCATTCAAAGACAGACGAGTATCTCATTCTTTGTGGTTCTGATTTGGAGAAGAAAAACCTCTACACGCTAAATCATAAAACTAAATGTTAGCCTTTTTCCCTGTGTGGCATAACTCAAAGGTTAAAGATTTAAAAGGTACTTCCAATGTTTTAGATGCTAGTAAGCTGGAACCCCTTTCATAGTGGTCTGGAGTCCTGAGGGCTTTCAGATGCAGTAGGATGGTCGGTGTCTTAAATAAGCTGGCCTTACTCTTTCAGCTACCTTAGCTTCTCTGTAAATGTTCACAGTTTGCTCTTCTACTCTGACAACCTCCCCATGAGAAATAAAGTTTTATTTTAGTCTTGTATTTTACTGTATTTGAAGTGTATCTATTTGAAGAATGAGACCAGTATCTTAATTTTCAGTATCTGGAGTCCTTCAAAATACTTCTGTCTGGGCTTTCACACCCTTTCCTTCTGAAAAAGGTCATAACCAGAATATTTTGTAATAGTTCAAATGCCCCAGCCGTTATGACCATCCAGTAGAATAAATCAATCATATTTTATTTAAAGTTACTCTGAAGATATTCCCACTTACATTTAACTTCCATAAGAATAAAGTAGAGCAAACTCTAATTCCACTCAACTTTTTGTTAGTACCCTAAGTACTTATATCTTTTAGCTGAAAGATGCTGTGGAATTATTTAAAATGTAATGCTGTGGAATTATTTCCAGAATAACCAAATATATTCTTTTTTTTTTTATTTCAGGAACTGCATCTGTGGCTGTTGCAGGTCTTCTTGCAGCTCTTCGTATCACCAAGAACAGGTTATCGGATCATACAGTGTTGTTCCAGGGAGCTGGAGAGGTATGTATTTTTATACATCAGGAAAAATTGTACTATGAAGATTTTTCTTAATATTTAATCAAGTTACATGTATGCAGTTAACAAGAAGATTAAATGGGTAGAATGATCACTAACACCTGCTGAAAGTTGGTTCTTAATTCAAATGTAAACTTACTGAAAAATCTCTGATCACCTGGTCAAGCCTTGTATTTTTCATAAGACATTTTGCAGAGATCTGTTCTCTTTTTAAAACTGCAGGTTTTAGCTCTGCAGCTGTAAATTATTGAGCTGCTCTCAATATAAACAAACAAAACTTTCTGGAAAGATGAGGAAATATATTAGGCCACCAAAGAGAAATGAAATAAAACGTATTTACCAGAGTCAGTGTTATTAGTAAAAAGCAGTGCCCCTTTGATTTTTCCTGTCATTAAATATAGTTTTACAGTATTCTGCATGTCGAGATCATACATTTCTGAAGATCTTTATGCATGTTATTTTTTTATACTAATTTTTCAGTATAAATTTCTAAGCCACTGACACACAAGTGAAGGTTGTACTTATCTACAGTGTGGCTAGCTGTCATCTCTTGTATGAAGTCTACAACCCCATGCAGGCCTCTGAAAAATATTATTCATGGTCACCAAACCCCCCTATAGGTGCAATATACTAATCCAGCTTTGTGTAGTCCAGATATCTTTAATTTGATTCAATATTTGGTGCTACTGAGATCAGGTGTGTAGTTTTCAGCATCCACGACTTGCAAAGGCATGTCAGCGCCTTTGTGCATCAAGACTGTCCGTCTCTCTGAAGTTCCTTCCCCTGGTTTTGCTCCATGTTCAGCAGACAGATGAATCCATGGTCTAATGTTTCTTTTTTTCATTAGTATTGCTGCAAAGAGAAAATGGTAGATATCATCCCTGCCGCGGGAGCTCATTCTAATAAAACTACTTATTTCTTAACTAAAAAAGGGGGATCTCACTTGATTCTCAGTGAAACTGAATAATAAAGAACAAGAAACAGAATGAACCCCATAAATATGTATATGAGTTGGTAATCAGAAATACTGAGTCGTCTGTTGGCTCATTTTGTTGCCTGTTTTTCAATCTGTACCTGTATAACATTTGATCTGTTGGATGAAATATTATAAAATCCAGTAAGAATGATACATGTTTCAGCAAAATATTGATAAGTGAATTTTTCTCGCCCCTGCTTTCACTGGGAGCACAGCCAAGTCTAGAATTACAAAACACAAGAATAGTAGGTAAAAGGAGACTTACCTTCTTGATGGACATTTCAAAAAAAGATAAGAGCAAAAAATTTTTTAGGACTGCATTTTACTTTCTGGCATGCAGAGTGTGGTTTCCTTTGGTTTAAATTACAAAAAAAATCTAATGAACAAAATAAAATTTCAAAGAAGAAAAAATATTTAATGTATTCTGAGATGTTTATGTGAAATAAATGTTAGTTTTAGCATTTTTCGTTAGAGTTTAAACATTTATTGTGCTCTCCACACTGTAAATGCCATGTTAAGATTTTTCTATACTATGATTTATCTATATGATTTAAGATTTATCTATACTATTTATCTACATTATGGTTTCTAGTTACCAAAATGGTAGCAACAGTTCATTAGTGTTTACTTTATGAAAAAATAATGATTCAGTTTTATTGTTAAATAAAATTAAGAAACTTATCTAAAATAGTGGGTAGAGGAAACAGGTGAGCAGGGGATTTCTTTAATTTCTAGTTTCGTGTACTGTTTTTCTTCTCTCTCCTTCAGGCTGCACTGGGGATAGCAACCCTCATTGTTATGGCTATGGAAAAAGAAGGGGTATCTAAAGATGCAGCTATCAAAAGGATATGGATGGTTGACTCAAAGGGATTAATAGTAAAGGTAATACAATTTTCTCATTCCTTTAAATGTCATGATAGTTATTTGCAGTCTCTAGATAAAGGCAAGAACATATTCTTTGTGAAAGCAACTACAACAATTTATCTCTCTTGACATAGAGATGCTTTTCTTTTCTAAACTGTATTAAATGAATGACAGACTCCCATGTTACTTCAGTGGGAGGGGCGTGATTATGCTTGGAGTTCCTGCTCTATTTCTATTAGAGATAAGCACATAATGGAGAGAATTTTTCAGCAGTTCATTAAAAAACATGTAAGGAAAGAAATGTTCAACTTGTGGGTTTAATATTTCCCCGTTAATGCGACTATCTTGCACAATCTTGCACAAAGATGTATAGATACATTATTAGGATAGCATTCAAGGATTTGTTAAAAGGAACAAAAATATTTTTGAAAAGAATAATTTTCCTTGCATGTGTGTTGCGAGCATGTCATCCTTCTGCAAGAACTGAGATATATTGCATCAAATAGCTTCTATGCACAGTGATATAGCTCATGTTGCAGATGTCGTGGTCTGCAGTGCTATCAACACTGGTCAGAATTTGAAGCTGCTGAGAGACTTCATCAGTCACCCTTACCTCATTCCTTCCATGTGCCAAAATAAAGAAACATGTGAATTCCATGTGCCAGAATAAAGAAACTGGTATGTTTTTAAAGGTGGTTATGTATTTAATAGTTTGTGAGCTACTTAAAAGAAATGGATGAGAGGCCAGTTGACTTTGCTTTTTCACCTTGCCTGTTGGTTAGCAGTGTTTATGGTCATTTTTGTTGGTACTGTGCTCTTGTGCAGTGTTCTTTAGCTGTCTAATGTTTAGGATCTTTTCTGGTTCACATACCTTTGCATCAGGAGCATGCATTCTGCAGTCAGTAACTGTGTTGGTTTATTGAACAGCATCACAGCACCTTTCACTCGTACTGTTAAAGAGAAAATAGTAGGATCATAGACAATGAGATGGGAGAGTATTACTAAGGTCATCTTGGATGTCCCTTGCCAGAAAGCACAAAAGTAGCCTGGTCAGGTACAGAAGAATGCTGGTGTTTTCTACTATCCAAGACACAGATTTTTTTCTGGTGTTTTTTTGTTTGTTTGTTTGTTTGTTTTAATGAGTGTGTTTAATCCTTTTGGTTTTCATCTAATAATCTTCAAGTGCTTTTGCATCCAAATCTGGTGTTTTTTTGTTTTTTTGTTTGTTTTAATGAGTGTGTTTAATCCTTTTGGTTTTCATCTAATAATCTTCAAGTGCTTTTGCATCCAAACACGGATGACTGAAGGCCTGTGTATCTTCTGTGGCTGTTGAAACCTAGAGGTTGCCGAAGAAGAATGGTGCGTTGCAAGTTTCCTCCACCATAGAGACTGGGATTATCAAATAATACAATTGAACTAAAATCACCTCCTGGTGGTGTTAAGGAAACAAACTGTCAGGGGCAGAAGTATAGGAACTTTACAACCCTAAAGCAGTAAAACGGATCTCAGCTGCGTGTCTGTCCAGCCAAGGTGGTTAACCAGCCTTTCTTCTCTCCTGCTCGTTTCCTCTTCCTGCTTCTTTTACACCTCTCGCTGCTAATTTGCTAGTCAGCTGAGGAGCTGGGTTGTTGCTTTTGGTACGCAGCGACTGATTCCTTTCACAGTTTCTAAATTTTTAGTGACTTGGTGACTGTATTCTTTCCTCTCCGCCTTCTAGCTTCAGCGCTCTCAAGCGGGGCCGAAACCAATCAGCGTCTCACACAGCCTCTAAGTTCCTTTCCTCTGCTTATTCTTCTTGGTGGGGCTTTAATTTGGGTTGTGTCCAAAAAGCAGTCCACTGAATTTCATGTCCTGCCCAGAGTATATTTGTGAACTGTTCATGATAGCCAGACATAACATCTGTCTGAGATAGATTAGGGCTGAATTTGTGGCCAGATGTTGATGCAAGCAGCGGGAGCCGATGGTGTGCATTTCAGGTCGTTGCTGGTGTTCCTGGAAGACCTGGGAGCACCAGTCTCCCTGTCTGGCTGTCCTGGGGGGCTTGAGAACGGGTGGGTGCTTACTATTGCAGTGTGTTTGAGTGCAGAGCCCAGTGGACCTAGAAGCTGGAGACACGTCAGTGCGAGGCCTGAGCTGGGCATAAGGAAACCCATTCTGGGTCTAGGGCTCTGCAAGTCCTCTCCTGGCTTTCTTCTGCAGCTAAATGTTCCCCCTAAAAAGTTTAAAAAAAAAAAAAAAAAAGCCCCCTCCCAAGTAAGAAAATACAACATAAGCCCCTTGAAGCTTGTGATTTAACTGCTGGGAAGTCATACATATAGCAAGTAAATAATTAAGCTATTCCTGGTTCCTTTTTCTGGCCTGAGAGAGAATGCTGTACTTCAGGTCCGCTTAGGAAATTATTTTGGCTTTAGCTGATTGCAGAAAAGTGCTGCAAGACTTGAAGGACTTTCCAAACTCTTAAAAAATGAGGAAGATTTGTGAGAAAACTGTACAATGGGAAGGACTCTATTGTTAGAAACCTTTTCATTATTGGAAAGATAAGATTTGCCAAGCCACAGCATAGATCACCAGTTTAACCAACTTTTGCATAAACTAAACTGACTTTTGTATCTTACTCCTAAGGAGGTGTATCAATGAAAACCTGCTCAACAAAAGTCCCTTAAAATTTGCCCCACCAAAAACTGCCTGATCAAAAGAGTTTTACTTGAAGCAGGGAGACCTTTTCAGTCCTAGAAATATTCTGATCTGTTGCTTTAGCAGTATGAGAAATAACAGACTCTCTGAAGACTTAGTGATTACTTTGTCCAACTAAACTAATTTTTACATCGTTTTATTCTATGCTGTCCTTTGATCATTAATTTTGCAATGCGTGATTATGGATTTAAGCATTGTTTCTCCTTTCGTCTCCTTTCTGTAGTATTTCAACCAGTGCAAACCGAAGAAAAATAACCTTGGAACTTTTGTTGACCTGACTGCAACTGTTTCCACCTTTTTCTTCTTCCCCCACCCCCAAAAGCTGCCACGAAGTCACTTATCATGCTTTTGTAGCTGATTTTTCCTTTGTGGCTTTTTAATTGTTCAAGTGCAGCTGTGTTTTCATTTTCCTGTTAATATTTTTTTCTTTTCCCCTGGGAACCATCTTTTTTCATTAAACCAAGTTTGATGACCAATTTTTCTGTTATGTTGTGGTGAAAGAGCTGGTGATGAAGGCTATGTTTGTTATACTGTCTGTAGTTGTGTTCTCTACTTCATTCTAGAGACCTTACAAAGTTCATAGTGTTTTGGGGATGTTGAGGTGTTTTTTAATCTGTTCAGTATGCTTTCACTTTTCGAAATTATTTTTTCTGCAAAGGTGGATAAGGAAGGTTTGCAGATCATAATATCATTGGAATTTTGCCACTCGAACTATATGACTTTACTCTTTGAAACAGATATCACTCCTCTTGAAATGCCTGTCTTAAGTATCCTAGTGCATTCAGATACAAGTTTTAATGTTTAATTAAAGGATACTTTTAAAGTTGCTTTTGCACTGTTGTGTACTTGGAGATTATGCATAAGCAGTTGGGGCTCATCTTCTGAATTTCTGAGTTCTGTCACATTGTCACATTCTATCTGATTAATGAATAGATATTCACCTATATGAACACACTGATAGGTAATGTCTCCCACGTTCCTTTTCTTTCCCCTATTCTCAGTGTTCCCATTTTTTTTCTGTTAATTGCACGAATATACATAAATGTGTGATGTGTGGTGAACACATTTTGTATCTTCTTTAAAGCTGCCATAGTGTCATGCTTAGCTATATTAGTGGTCAAATCTTCACCCGTGAACTTCAAAGACAGTAAATTCTTTTGTGTCAAGTAGCTGAGAAGAGGTGGAAAGTGATAAACGGTATTGGGATGTTCATGAGGTTCACCTTGTCTGAGCATTTTAGTAATGTGCTGCAAATGCTTCTTTTTTCTTTCTTTTTTTTTTTTTTTAAGGCAATACCAAGAACATGGTAGGGTGATAGGCAAGATGGTTCTTGGAACTGCCTAGGAATATGATGCAAATAATAAGACATTTTTAATACTTAAAGGGACTCGGCAGAAACCCCCCACCCTCTGCCAAGAATGGATGCTCCTCCACTGAGGATGGGTGACAGGCTGATGGGAGCATTCCTGTGCTGACAAACATGCTTCTTTTGTGGTGAAGTTTATCTGTAATTTGCAAGACAACATTAGATTTTTGTATGCCACATAATCTCCAGTGCACAAATGAAGTTCCCCAACATAGGGGTGAATGTCATCCTTGATTTCAAGGAGTATGTCAACATGGAGCAATGTTGCTTTTGACAGTTTTGTACTCTATACTTTCTAGTTCAGCACAGTAATACTTGTGTCTAATGGACATTGTATTCTAAATGTCCATTAGATGTGTGATCTTAACCCCTGTAAGACTTCAGATCATCTGAGTGAAGCCCAAACTGAATGCCAAGAACAAGAACAATCAGTTGAGGTCCGATAGTTGAAGGCCTCAGAATATCGATCTTTGTAAGAGATGGACTGATACAGACCCCAAAAGTTTACCAATTTATGTGGTCCTAAATTATTAGAATGGAGATATCCAGGTAATCCTGTCGATAATCCTCTAAAATTACTTCATTTTTCCTCCTCCTTCCCCCATTTGAATATCCCTGGCAATCTTATTTGGAAAAGGTCCTCACAACCAATTAACTGGTGGTGGATATGACTGTGATTGAAGTTGATGGTTTGGTCAAAGCTGGATACATACCTAGTTCAGTCTTTGTTTGGAGAATGATGGAAGAGAAAGGAGGCCATTTGGGACTGATAGCAGAATTTCAGTGCCATATAGGTGTGGTCGCTCCTATTACAGTAAGCAGAGCTCGTATAATAGATGAAAGCCTATAGAGCTCACAATCAAGTATCTTGATCTTGAACTGTATCCAATCCTGACTGTCTGTTACTGAATTTTCTTATTTTTTAGCAATAAAAGCTTTAAAAAAACCTGTTTGGATT